TAGATATAGGCTGTATTTTCTTTTTGTGGGGTTCTTTAGCAAATAGAAGTTTACACTTGTGCCCTAAAGCTACTACATAGGAAGCCCGTAAAGGCACAAGCATGTATATTGTAAAGGCACGGAACCTTTTTGAATTTGGGAAAAGGCCTACTAGGCCTAAGGACCCTAAACCCTGGAAGCCCTAAGCCCTAAACCCCCAAACCCTGAACCTTAAACCATCGCAGGAAGGAGAGGGTAGTTAAACTGCAGCACTTCTTCAGACTACACAGGGGGAGTGGGGGGGGGGGGGGGGGGGGGCAGAGTTTGGGGGGCTGAAACTACCGAACTTATCCTTAACACGTACCCCTAAACCCTAAACCCCAAACCTTAAACTCGTTACCCTAAGCAGGGTTTTGGGCCGAGCCTGGTTACGCCCAGTTGTTGCTTGAAGGTTCATGGTACTTACGAGCCAATTATAAGTGGGCTTATGACCCTACTTATAATTGGGACAACCCCTATAAGGCCCTTTAGGGGTATTATAAGTAGGGTTATAAGTACAGTTATAATTGGTTAGTATGTACCATGAACCTTCAAGTAGGGCCCAGCCTGGTTGCGCCCAGTTGGTGATGGCCTTCTGAAGCGGCCTTTGTGGGAGGAAGCGGCGCGGCAGAAATTTCTCCACCGGGCTTAAGAGACCGAAAAGCTCAAAGAGGGTTTAGGGTTTAGGGTTTAGGGTTTAGGGTTTAGGGGGGGGAAGTGCCCTCACTGTGCACAGATGACTGCCCGCTGGTCGTGGTTTTGGAGCAGGCCACGGCAGAAGGACAACGTTTGGTTCGCTTGCAGTCGGAAAGACAACGGGCAGTATTCCTGCAACTACTTCCAGTACTGGACGGGCAACGACCTTTAGGGCTTGGGGTTTGGGGTTTAGGGTTTAGGGTTTAGACTCTCAACATTTGATTGAATGAAGCCCTAAAGCCCTCAAGCTTTCTAGATCCTCAAGCCTCAGCCATCTCATCAACCCTACGTAAACCCTATCAGCATCTATCAGGCCTATTAATAGCTCTATAGGCTTTAGACCCATCAAACCCTAAACCCCCGAATTGGATTGATGCGCGTATCTAAGGGTAGTTACATGAGCTCTTCTTATGGTCCCTTACCTCCCTTAGAAGGGTTCTGAAGTAAGGGCCCTTGGGTTTTTTAGGGTATATAAGGGGCACCATGTACCATATATACCTACCCTGAGAGCGCAGGTCATGCAGAAGACCAAGTCCCGGGTTAAGGAGCTCGAGAAGGAGTGTCGGGCTCAGGGAGCTCGTTTAGGGTTTAGGGTTTAGGGTTTAGGGTTTAGGGTTTAGGGTTTAGCCGCATAAAGGATTTCGGGTTCGGGGGAAGTGCCGGGGGGGGGGGGGGGTTTGGTTTAGTACTTCCCTACTGCTTTTGGGGTTAGTCATGGGACTCTACTTTGGAACCTAAGTTTGGGTTTGGGACCTTGTTGAACGATCCTTAAGGTAGCACAAGGGCCATATGAGGAGTATGTTAAGGGGAACCTCCTAGGGGTACAGCGGTCCGAGTCCCCTAAACCCTAAACCCTAAACCCTAAACCCTAAACCCTAAACCCTAAACCCTAAACCCCCTAACCGCGGCACAGGGCTTCGGGGATCTGGATCGGTTTCGCATTTGATGTGTGCGGCTCTTTTCCTTCTTACTTGGAAACCCTTGTAAGGTGGGTTATGGGGAGTATAAGGATTATAAGAGGGCTTCTAGGGGAGACTGAGTCGACTTACTAAGTCCAAAAAGAGCATCAAAGTAGACGAGGTGGCCCAGGGATATCCGAACCCCCCCCCCCCCCCCCAAAAAAAAAAAACAACAGGCTATGGCTTTGGTCTTTTCTGCAGGTTCGCCTCCGAACGTCGCCTTAGGGTTTAGGGTTTAGGGCCTGTTTAGGGTTAGGGCCTAGGGTCCCAAAGCCCAAAAAACTTTTGGCACGAAGACCCTGGACACAAAGTCTCTACAAGGCCTCATGCTAAAAGGTTTACCCTGCAAAAGCAAACACAATAATCGCAGATACAAAGTAATGCAAAAACAAAACTATGAACAATCAGTAAAGAGGAATATCTGTAGCCCGCACCGTGAAAAACAAGATACACAACTAAACCCTGTGAGTCTCAGCCCTAAACAAACAGTCCTAAACCGTATGAACACCTAGAACCCAGAGTAGGCCCTCATTCCCCTTTCTTTCGGGTTTAGGTTCCGTTATAAGCCCCTTGCAAACCAAAAAAAGGTACCCTGTTATTCTCAGGTTAGAAGCCCTACTTGAAGGTACATGGTGTTTCGAAATGCGGCGACTCTTCTAGTACAGCCTGTCCAAGGGTTGCCAGGCAACTTTTTGCACGTTTCACCCAGAACACATGTATACTAAACCCTAAACTACTAAACTTGCGCAAGAACCCTCCAAACAAGTAACACACTTCCTTATAAGGGCCGTATGGGGATTACCGTCTCTCTTTTTTGCTTTTTTTGGGGGGCGGGGTTCTCAAGCAAACCCTAGACCCTAGACCCTAAACCCTAAACCCTAAACCCAAACTGTAATAAGCCATGGCCCTAAAACCCTCTAGGCTCGGAGGACCCGACTGGGCACTGGCTTGTTCACGACAGCTAAGGCTTAAGGCGTTTAGGGTTTAGGGTTTTAGGGTTTTCGGGTTTAGGGTTTAGGGTTTAGGGTTTAGGGGTTCGGAGCCGAGGGTTCCTTAGTCCCCCACCCTTGCCCCGCGGTGTTCCTGACACACTCTATCCTAGAAGGCCTCTAGGGTTTAGGGTTTAGGGTTTTGGGTTTTGGGTTTAGGGTTAAACCTGCATACGGCCTGGACTGCCTGAACCCCCTAAACCCTGAACCCAAAAACCCCAAATCGTAGTTCCTTTTGGGGGGGAGGCTTCAGGGTTCACCTAATAAAGACTCCTACAAGGGTTTTTTTATTGCAATAGCCTACAAACATGGACGCGCAACCCTAAACCCTAAATCCCTAAACCCTAAACCCTAAACCCGAAACCCGAAACCCTAAACCCTAAACCCCAAACCCCAAACCCCAAACCCCAAACCCCAAACCCAACAAACCCTCAAGGCGTTTAGACATGAGGCGGGAAAAGGCATCGGCCCTCCTCAAAGCTTCGGAGCAGAAGAAGCGCGAGGCCATTCAGGCCAGCGGGGCTTCGCTTCAGGGTCCTAAACCCTAAACCCTAAACCCTAAACCCTTTACCCTTTACCCTTAAAACCCTAAACCCCAAACCCTGCTTTTGCTTTTGCCGCTTCTTGCTGCTTATTTATTTTCAGGAATGATGGCGTCCATTCATGGTTTGCGATGGAGAGTTTAGGAGCTGGGGGGCCCCAAACCCTCGCGCCAAATGCTAGAGAGTCGAAGCCGTGGCCCTCCTCCTTTGCATTCGCTCCCCCTCCCCAGCCCTGAGGGTTAGGGTTTAGGCGTTGAGGAAAAAAGCAAGGGTTGAAAGGTATATCTCCATCACATAAGAGGGCTGATTTGGGGTCCGGGTGGGGGGGGGGGGGGGGGGGGGGGGGAGGCCCTAGTAGATCTTCCACCCAAGACAGCTAGATGACTTGGCCCAGGCCACGAAGAAAGCCATTGCAGAAGTCAATGCTGCGAAAGGCGGGAATTCGGGGCTCGAATGGTTTTGGGTTTTGTAGTTTAGGCTTTACCCAAAGGCTCCAATGTAGTTGCTTTTTGGGTTAGTTATAGGGAATACTAGTATACTACCCCAAAATGGTACTACATAGGAGCCCTTGGGTAGGGTCTATAGTACTACAGGGTGTTTAAATCATGACCCGTGGCCGTCTCTACTATAGCCCATGACGACACATCTTGAACCCTAAACCCTAAACCCTAAGCCCTAAACCCTAAACCCTAAGCCCTAAACCCTGAACCCTAAGCCCTAAGCCCTAAGCCCTAAGCCCTAAGCCCTAAGCCCTAAGCCCTAAGCCCTAAGCCCTAAGCCCTAAGCCCTAAGCCCTAAGCCCTTTTCTGAATCGAGCTGACCTCGCCCGCGCAGGGAAGGGAAAGGGCGTCAAGAAGAGAACGGCGGCAGCCTTATCTACGAGTTGAACCCCCCCCCCCCCCCCCCCCCCCCCCCCCCTCCCCAAAACACGTTCTTCCTTAATAAGGGCAGTACTTCTTCTCTAAAAGTGAAAAAAACTCTCAGTCATGTTTATGCTCTTTGTTTGTGTTTTTTTTTGTGGGGGTTGCGAAGCAAATTCGTGGTTATGTTCGGCACCTCGCATCTTTGAAAAAGATGCGACTCCTCCTGCTCCGACACCAACAACCAGGCCTTTGGAGCCTAACTCCCAAAACTTAGGGTCTAGGGTTTAGGGGCTGGGATTTGGGCTTTAGGCTTTAGGCTTTAGGCTTTAGGCTTCAGGCTTTAGGCTTTAGGCTTTAGGCTTTAGGCTTTAGGCTTTAGGCTTTAGGCTTTAGGCTTTAGGCTTTAGGCTTTAGGCTTTAGGGTAAAAACAGAACAAACACGAACTCTTTGCAGGCCCTTGGAATACTTTATGTTTTCCCGTTTTGGGTTTAAGAGGATCATATTCGGGAACATTCTTCCGAGGGTTCAAAGGACCATCCTAGCACGACACTGTCTTGCACCGCACCAAGCTACATCACACACGCGTACACACATTTTGCACACTTTTATATCACACTCACTCACGGACAGTCTTGCGTGTGTATATACTCTAGTGTATAGTTTTTTGTACGAAAGCCACGAAGATGCGTTGTACATGAAAGCACTCGTAGCTTCTGGCATAGAGTATAGGTGCGGAGTCAGTGCTGCCAAGTCTTTTCTGACCAGAGTCGCAGGCCACGTGAAGTGCTCAGAAGACTTGCCGTGTTTCAGAATGGACGTTGCTTTGCAGCGTGACTTCCACGTTATACCCATAAACTCATCATGACCCCTGAAACTTCAACCTAGAAGCGATAGCATATACTTGGACTGCCTGTTCCAGCATCCTCCGTGCCATGTGGGAAAGGGCTTCGAGTGAATTCCGTCGGACTCTGCGCTTTGTGGTGGTGACCTGGGTGCTTGCGAGAATCGTTTCCAGATGCGCCGAAGTTTTTTGTCCTCCAGGTTGTGTCGCAGCGTTGAGGCCGGCCATCCCGGAAATGATCAACCCCGGGATGGTCACCCCAATAAAAGTCACGAAATCGATGGCAGCCTCATCCCGGAGTCGCAGAGAGGCTGGCTCATCTGGACACCCGGCCCAAGGCGCACAAAGGGCGATGCCTGCCGGGCCTTTACTTGAAGTTTCCGTGGGCAATGATCACAGTTGCGCATTGAAGACAGGTGGTAATCTAGTCTGCTTTGGATCCAACAAAAATGGGCAATGCGATGTGCCAGCAGATCTTGCCCCACTTCTGGCAGTCTCAGCAGGTGGAGGTCACACATGTGGCATAAAGAAAGATGGCCATCTAGTCTGCTTTGGACTAAACAATTACGGGCAATGCAACGTGCCTGTGGATTTGGGACCAGTTTTGGAAGTCGCCGCAGGCCATGATCACACTTGTGCCGTGAGGGCAGAGGGCCACTTGGTTTGCTTTGGCAATACTGGTTCTGGGCAATGCGACGTGCCGGCGGACTTTGGGCCAGTGCTGGCAATCTCTGCGGGCTTGTCGCATACCTGTGTAGTGGGAGTAAGTTTTCAGTTGGTCTGCTTCGGTCACCAATTTGGTCGAAAGGCCTCGTGCCCTCGCCATGTGCCCGCTGATCTGGGGCCTGTTTTGGCAGTCTCGACGGGCGCAACACATACCTGTGCAGTGGGCCGAGATGCCCGCTTGGTCTGCTTTGGATGTTGGAACGACTCTCCCACTGCGTGTGATGTGCCAGCGAATTTGGGACCAGTTTTGTCAGTCGCCGTGGGTGAAGATTATACCTGCGCTGTAAGATCAGATGCTCAGCTGGTGTGCTTCGGATCCAACCCCCTCGGGGCATCTGATGCGCCTGCGGATTTAGGACCAGTTTCGGCAGTCTATGCTGGTGTGTTTTATACCTGTGCGGTTCGTAAAGATGGTCAACTGGTCTGCTTTGGCGACAATTCTGCTGGTCAATGCAATGTTCCCACGATTTGGTGACACGTCCCTCCCTGTGCCTCTCGAAGAAATGCGCCCTCAAATTCGTCGCCCCAACGCCTCCTCAACCGCCCAAACCTGCAACCTCCAGCCTGGGGGGATGGATTTTATTGAGTTGTGTTGTCATGGTTTGTCCTGTTAAAGCCACACCCGAAATTCCAGGATGCCCAGTAATACCCGAGAAGGGCCAGGGGTTAGGATCCCCTATATCCCTCCCTAAACCCAACGCCCTAAACCCTGAATAACCCTCTCTCTGCCCTGAATCGAGAATACTAAGCACGACAAAGCCTTGGCCTTATTTTGGGTTTAGGGCGGGGTCTTGCACCTCTTCAACCCCATACACCCTATGCACCCCAAAAGCCTCTAAGCCTCTACACGTTTCAACAAGCCAGATAATTTCTAGAAGGCCCCCCGCCCCCCCCCCCCCACCCACCCCCCCACCCACCCCCCACCCACCCACCACACACACACACACACACACACACACACACACACACACAAGCGCCCACCCCACCCCCACCCCGCCCCACCCAACCCCCACCCCACCCCACCACCCCCCCACCCCCACTTTACCCCACCCCCACCCCACCCCCCCACCCCCACCCCCCCCCCACCCCCACCCCCCCCCCACCCCCACCCCCACCCCACCCCCACCATGCACGCATGCACCACCACACGCATGCACACACGCACGCATGCACGCATGCACGCACACACCCGCGCACCGCGCACCTCCGCACCGCACACCCCGCGCACCCGCGCACCTGCGCATCCACGCACCCACGCGTGCACGCACCGCCCGCCCGCCCGCCTGCCACCCGCGCGCGCGCGCGCGCGCCCCAAACCCTGAACCCTGAAGCCCTATAAGGCCCTTTAGGGTTATTTTAAGTAGGGTTATAAGTACAGTTATACTTGGTTCGTAAGTACCATGAACCTTCAAGTATATAAACCTTAAACCCTGAGAGGCACCCGAAACCCCTTGCAGCCAAGTCGGGAGCCTCGTCGAAAGCCTCGCCATCCATGGGCAAGCGGTCGCCATCCACAGCGAAGCGCCCTGCGCCTGATGAGGCCGAGACAGTGCGGTTCCCAAGCCTTTCCAGCATGGGCGATTAGGCCTTATAATCCCCTAACCAACCCTATAAAGGGTCTTTTTAAGGGGTTATAGGGTACAATAGCCCATGTAGGTTTGGGGGTTTAGGATTTAGGGCTGGGGGTTTATAGGGTTGAGGGTTTAGGGTTTAGTGTGTGGGGTTGCTGTCGTCCCCTTTAGGATTTAGTTGGTTGCTGGTGTATCTGGAGCCCTTTAAGAATTCCTTCTCCGCCGTTTTTTGGGGAGTATAGTGCAGGGTGGCTGAGTGACTCCCAATCAAGCCCTTACTAGTTAGTAAGTAGTCTTCCTTAGAATAAAGGCAAGATAGAGATTGTTATCTTCTATTTCTTAGGGGTTCTTAAGGAATAGTGGCCTCAGAACTAGAAAGTCACATTGCTGGACCCCGGCGTCGGGTATAGAGAGGTTACATTGGGGTTTAGGGTTTAGGTCCCTTACCTTCTTGAAAGGGCTCCGAAGTATGGGGCCCTTGGGTTTTATGAGGTATACAGGGGGGTATACAAGGGTCCCCCCAATCAAAGGGCCCATAGTAAGGAACCATGTAGCTACCCTAAACCCTAAACCCTAAACCCTAAACCCTAAACCCTAAACCCTAAACCCTAAACCGATCGGTTGGTCTATCATGGGACCGTACCTTGGGATTCCCAAGTTGCACCCTTGGGTTTGGGGAGCCCTTTTTTTCCAAGATCCGGGAAGGGAAGATGCCAAAAGAGGTGGTTTATAGCAACCTCTAGAGACCCTAAACCCGAAGCCCTAAACCATGCTGCGCACTTCATAGGTCGGGAGCTGTAGAATTGCAGTGGTTACCCAATGTCCCCCCTACCTCTTTGCTCCTAAAGGTGGATGGTTGTATGGGTGCCAACTTGCATAAGCCTGAAATTTCACAGGGGTCCTTCTTCTGATCTAAGGTGATATTATAAAGGGCTCTTTGGAGGCATGGTCCCAAAGAAGCCTACCAGAAGTGGGGAAAGTTGTCGTGTCGTCAAGACCATTCACAGCACCGCCCTCAAAGAATGTGGAAGGCGTGGTTTCTCTTCAATGCAGGAGCCTAAGTAAGTGGCAACATATCAACCCTACACACCCTGAGCCGATATAGTTTGCTACCAAGCTACCAAGAACCCGTTCTAGGTTAAGCTGGACCCACCGGGTTTAGGTTGCGAGGTGCATTTTGAGCCCAGACCGTTTAGATACCTTCAAAAACCCCTTTTAAAGACACCATGAACACCTTTCTACTGGCTAGTCCCCTAAACCCTAAACCCTGAACCCTTAACCCTAAACCCTTAACCCTTAACCCTTAACCCTAAACCCTAACCCTAATTCAAGCCGCTGAATCCCCCAAACCATGCACAATGTGAACGGTACCTGGGGGGTTGCTCCAGAAAAAAACTCCACACTGGCAAACCTGCAGCCTTTTGTTTGAGGTGCCTCTGAACATGCAGGAAGATGGCGAGGACGTCGATTAGGCGCAGATCATGCGCTGTTTGTTGTGTCATAGCTCGGACGACCGTCTAAACCTGAACAAAAGCCTGGTGTCAGCGTTCAGAGGTTGATGTCGTTGAGGGCTTCATTCATTGTCGGGCCGACAAAAACCGGGCCACCCCAAACCTACAAACCCTTAACAAACCTTACACACACAACAATTACATCGCTAAACTCTGAACAGTAATTTCATAGGGATTCTTGTACATCGCTGTCCTCTAAGCCCTAAATGCCTTCCTCAAAGGGTATTGGGCTCTTCTGGAGAACTCCGAGGCATGCTGGGCTACCTAGTTTTTACGTAACTTAATTCCATCCTTGGGCAACCAAAGGACCTGGTGGTTTGGTGTAGCTCAGAGCCAATTCAAATTACACCTTTTGGGGTTTAGGGTTTAGGGTTAAGGTTTTTTTCCCCATTTGTTGGGTTTCGTTTTTCGGGTTTAGGTTTAAGGCCCCCCGCAAGTGTCCGCTGCCAGGGTAGATGCCGTGAGCGCGTCTGATGGGCACAACATCAAAGTGTGTTTTTAGGGGCTTGCCTCGAGCAATCTCTATCCGAACACGTACGTCATGCTCTGGATACAGGGTTCGTGGCATGGATCCAGGGGTTGGATTAAACGCTTTGATGTCCAAGGGGGCTACTCGACCGCTTGCCCTAGAACACGAATGTTAAAGCAAGGTTGTAGCTGTCGCCAATTCTGGCTTTGCAGCCGCCACAATTCTACCCGTCATCTAGCCTTGCACTTGTGATACTCCTTCACGAAAGTAGCCTTCATCTAGGACCAAAAAATTAGGCCCTGATTCCATGGTTTAGGGTTTAGGCTCCCTCATAAGCCCCTTTAAACCAAAAAGGGTACCCTTGTTCTTGCTAGGTTATTCTTGGGCAAACAATCAAAACTTCGTTAGGGCTACCGGGTTGGGGGTTTAAGGCTGTCGGCCACTGCTGGCAGACAAAAACCTGAGCAACTGATAATTCGGCACTGTACTTGGAGGTTCAGGGTACTAATCGGGTTTAGGGTCTAAGGTTGGTTCCTGCATGTTGACAAGGAAAATTTAGGGTTATCTTGGGGAACAGGCATTTTGATCAACTACCGCAGGGTGGGGTTCCGGTATAGTAGCTAATAGGTGTACTTCCCTATTTCGCGAATTTCCCCCTCTGAAGTAGGGCCTTGTGATTGCTCTAGGTGCGTGTGTGTGTATATACATAGGCATATAGGGTTCTGAGTGTGTGTGTGTATGTGTATATATATATATATACTGGGTGCCCTTTCGCGGATACCAACCAAAAATAGCCTCGAACAAGTTCCCTAAAAGCAAGCCGTAAATGGACGAGAAAGTTCCCCTAAACCCTAAACCCTAAACGCTAAACCCTAAACCGTAAACCGTAAACCGTAAATGGACGAGAAAGTTCTTGCCTGGCAAGCGGTCGAAGCACATGCACTCACAGTCCGCCGTGGTGCTTTTCGAGTTCGAGCGAGCAAAAATCTCCGATCGCGCAGTCCTCTCCAAGTCGTGCCTGTGATGCGAACCCTCAACCCTCAACCCTCAACCCTAAACCCTAAACCCTAAACCCTAAACCCCAAACCCCAAACCCCAAACCCCAAACCCCAAACCCAATGTATCATAGGCTCATGAGTTTGGGCAGTGGAAAACTCGACTCCCTGAACCCCCTCAACCATACACATGGCTGGGCGTCGAAGGGAGCTTCAGGATGACTTAACAGAGGAGGGTTTAGGGTTTAGGGTTTAGGGTTTAGGGTTTAGGGTTTAGGGTTTAGGGTTTAGGGTTTAGGGTTTAGGCTTAGGATTTAGGGTGTAGGGTTTGGGGTTTAAGGGTGTAGGGGTTTAGGGGTGTACGGGTTTAGGGTTTAGGGTGTAGGGGTTTAGGGTTCAGGGTTTAATTAGGGTTTAGGGTGTCGGGTTTAGGGTTTCGGGTTTAAGGTGTAGGGTGTAGGGGTTTAGGGCTTAGGGTTTAGGATGAGGGTTTCCAGGTTTTTAAGACTATTTGCTTTAAGGCAACTTTAAGGGCCCTATAGGGATTACTACTCTCTGTTGTTTGGTTTCTTAAGCAAATAGTAGTAAGACTTAGAAAGAAGGCTTTCTACTATTTGCTTTTAAGGGCCCTTTAGGGATTGCTATTCTTGATTTTACCGGGTTCTTGAGCAAACAGTAAACCCTTAACCCTGAAGCCTTTCAGGGTTTCGTGGCAAGCGGCCCGGAAGCTCGAAACCTCGAACCCTCGACGCCACGTCTGCCAACAGTTCGAGGAGTCTGAAGGTTGTGGTTTAGCGTTTAGCGTTTAGGGTTTAGGGTTTATGGTTTAGGCTTTTTAGGCCTAAGGGTTTAAGGCAGCCACCATGTGCTAACGTTTTAAGCCTAGTAGTAGAGTAGGTAACCTTTAACCATCTTGGGGTAGTACAATC